CAGGTGTAAACAATGCATAACCTACCTAGGGAGTTTGAGTAAATGGATGGCAGAACAAAGTTTAAAAGAGATAACAAAAAGACAAAATTTATTAAGAATTACAAAGGACAAAACATTGTGAAGAGCCATGATCTTCTACGTCCTGAAGGGACACATCACACAGAAGTAGAAGAATCTTGAAAGGATATCAATTAGATCGCATGTAACACTGAATTGTGCTTTTATCTAAATTCCTTCTAAATAAATAAACAGCAAATTCTGTCTGGATGAAGATGGAAGAGTTAAAAATTCAAATTTTAAAATAACTGAAAAAAATTAGTGATTTTAAAAGTTTTGAATTTATATTGAGTTGAAAGTAACACAAAAGCATTGTGAATTTAAAAAAAAAAATGTTTTAAATTCAGTTTAAAATTTCTCTAAATCAATTTTATTCAAAATGCCAAGAAATCAGAGTTAAAGTGAGAGGTTTTGTGACGTAAGGTTTTGAAGTTTGTGTTTTGAAGTTTGTGATTTGAAGAACTCAATTTTCGGCCTGAATCGGAATTTAAAAAAAAATTAAGTTTGTGAATTGAGGAAATCAATTTTGTTTCTTCAAAATGCCAAGGAATAAGAGTTAAAGTGAAAGGTTTTATGATGTGAGGTTTTGAAGTTCCGCAGAGTTTGTGATTTAAAGAACTCAATTTTTGGCCTGGATTGTGATTTCAGCCCAAATTAGTCATTTGGCCAAAATTGGACTTATATCCCGAATCAGAGTTAAAGTGATGGGTTGACGTTTCATGGAGAGAATTGAGAAATTGAAAGCTATTTCTTACAAAATTATCATTGCTTATTTTTTTAAGTCAGAGATCCATCTAGTTTTGGGCTGGAGGCCTAATTAGCCCTACACAGGAATTATCTTAAACATATGCAGAGAGTGTGGCTTTTAAGCTAGTCTCACTTCTTTATGGCTATTGGTTGCAGATCAAAACATGATTTCAATTGATTTCACCTTTTCAGTTGTTCTTACTTTAAGCCTTTGTCTGCTTAATTCTCTAGCAAAATTTGGATTTATTGTCTTAGTCTTGAAATTGATGCCATTTTTTACAGATGTTGAATTTATCATCTTTAAAATTGTCACTTTCTAAGGAAGAAGTGTATTTTTTGTCTCAAGAACTACACTTAGCTGTGAAAATGCAGGATTTCTAGATGAAAACATGTAAATAAAAATGGTGAAGGAATAAACAGATTGAAATATTTGGCTTGAAGTAACAAAAAATCTATGTGCTATTCTATCTATTTATAGCCTAATCAATAGATACGTCATAGTCATAGAATGTATTGGTCCAGTGACAACTTATATGAAGAAACATACATGAGGCTTCATTAATGTTTTATTTTTTAATTCTTTATTGAGGAGGGAATGATTCCCTAAAGATTTTGTCGGGGATGCAAATGGTATAATGAAATTAGGAAAAGATCAATGTTTACCTTTTACCAAAAACGAAATAAGTAAACAAATTCTTCAAAACGAATTGAGAAACATCACTTGTGCTAACTGCTTGAGCTCTTTCATGTGATCAGGTGGGGTAAATGAAAAGGGAAATAAATCATTTCTGTTGATGTTGTTAGTTACAGAAAATTACCAAGATGGCCTGATTAATAATAAAAGAAATTTATAGATACAAGGTGGAATATAGAGAAATAAAATTCAACTGAAATAGGATGAAAAATTGTAATAATATACAAGCTGCTAGACAATTTCTTTCACAAGAATCTATCTTACATATTTATATGTATACCATTACTCCTGACTTTGAATATTGCTGCCACAATTCGTCTGGCGCTTCTGCAGGTTTAGGGTTAGAAATTCTTGATAAAATACAAAGAAAAATCTAAAGTGTTATTGGTTCTGACCTGGAATTTCAGTTAAAAGTTCCTTTCCCATAGCTGTAAAGTAGCTTCCCTCTGCCTTTTCTATAAATATTTTCATGGTAATTGTTATGATGAATTTTCCTCTATGGCATCGAGACTTTATCAATTTAAGCACAATACTAGATTGGCAACAAGATCTCATCATTTTACAGTTGAAATGGCTGCAAGATGGAACCATGTTCTCTATTGACAGTTTCTTTTTTCGCACTTCTCACTTGTGAAACTCTCAGCTTCTTACTTCCCAGTCAAGATAGATTTTCAAAAATGTAAATGCAATGTCAATCTTTATCTACTGTCTTCTTAATTCCAATTCTTTTAATGTTCACTCTTCTTAATTGTGTTTTTTTTATTCTCATATTCACTCATTAACCACTTGCACCTTAATGGCTTTATTGTATTGCTTGGGGTGAAATGATATAATATATATATACAAATACATATGTGAGTGTGTGTGAGATTGAGTGATTTGTTTTTTATGATTTATCAACCCTTTGTGTGTTATTTAAAGCTGAAGCATATTTGGGGGTTTGTAAGAATAATTCTTTTTTTTTTGCAAGTGAATATTGCATTAACATTTTTTGCAAATAACAATGAATTTTAAGGATACAAGTCATACTATATCTGTCTATATCTCTTCATTGCCATATTCACAACATTTTGGCTTTTTTTTATATGTGCCAGCCTTCTTCAGGTGACTCAAATTTCAAACTGAACCCTTAATTTCGACTACCAGGGTAGATTTTGGTATTGAACTCACAACTCTTTGGGTCTAGTCATTGGATCCAACCAACATCTTTATCCACTGGGCCGTGTGTCCTTGAGGACGTCTGGGTATGAATTTCTGGGAACTTATAAACCTAAGGTCTCAGCAACTGTTTTTTTTTACCAGTGCTCATATCGCAATTTTTTCCTTTATTATTATTGCATTCTTTTTACCAGAGTTTATATTGCAATTTTTTTTGTGTTGTTATTCATTGCTTTTCTCTAGCACCTTATTAATGGTTCCCATATTGTATTCATTTCTATGCTTGGTCGGCTCAGGAGATTTTTGTGGCCAGGCATATGTGCTGATACCTTAAGTTTTTGTATTTTCCAGTGATGCTTTCTGTCTATTATTTCAACCTCACCCCACAAGGGGTGGTGATCTTCCTTTTCCTTCCATATGTGGCAGCCTGTTTCTCTTTTATATTTCTTACTACAGCTGCACAGGATTGTGTACACACAGTCCTTAGTCATGTTCTCCTCTATGAGGATCTTACTTGGAAGAGGTGTCTGTGAAGTGTTGAACCACTTTTGAAGATTCTCTTGATGTTATATGGATCACAGATCTCTTGTATTTTCTTCAATAATCCTTTCACATAGGGTAGGCAGACTGAAGCTGTTTTCTGAATGTTGTTATCCTCTTGTACCCTTCTATTCCAGTTTGTCAAAGCTGCTGTCTTGTACACAGGGTAGTTGTTATGTTGTAGAGTAGTGCATATAATGACCATTTCTTATTTGTATGTCTCTGGGTCACCACTTATGACTTTTGCTTTGAAAAGTGGACGATCGCTTTCTTTACACTGTATGGGTGGTGGGAGTTGAAGTTGAGGTATTGTCCAGTGAATGTAAGCTTTCAGTATATTGAAGTCTTGAACCCATGATCTGCTCGAGATATTAGTACATCCAAAAAGGTGAGTTTGTTGTTGCTTTCTCTCTCCCTTGTGAACTCTGTCGATGATCTTATTGAGTTCACATAGTCCAGTAGCAGAAGAAGGCCAGCTACTACTAATTAGTGCATATGTGTGGGTACATGTGTGTGAATGTGTATATGACTGAGGGTATGTGTGTGTTGAAGTATGTGTGTGAGTCTGTGTGTATATAAGTTTACAAACACAGACTTGTGTATACATATTTACATTTTTGACTTTTAACAGATATCTTCATACTTATCAAAATGTTCAGTGATTCTAAAACATTTAATATTTCTAATTTGGATCATCGGTAAATTATTCTCAGTATTTTCCACATCTGTCTAACAAGCTGTATAGGACTGTTAGAAAGTGATTTTTTAGTTTTAGATTTGTTTTTCTATTTTCAATATTTTTATATGGTGTAGATTACTGTAGAGCTTCCAATTCTCTATACATATTTATATCAGATATTTAGAAATCAAGTTGATATAAACTTGCCAACAATTCAATTGTCCACTTTTTTAATACTGTTTATAAAATGCTTATTTCTTCTGGCCACACTTTCATAATGACCCCAGGTAAAAAAGACACTATAATACTATTCCTAGATTGATTTAAAAACACTTTAATAATCATCTCAGGTAAGAAAGACACTATAATACTATTCCTAGATTGATTTGAAAACACTCCCCGACATATACTGCATTACAATATTTTTTTTACATTTTCCTATTCCATTGCATGACAATATTTTTATTTTCAATTTTAATTTGAATGAAACCCTATAGATTCTTTTCTTTTGTAACTGAATTGAAAGATCCTTTATGATAAGCAGTAAGGACAAGATTTCCTAAGGATATAAGATAGAACAAAAGGCTTTTGATAAAAACAAGCAAAATAAGAATGCAATTTTGGATCAATTATTATATAATTTTTTGTTACGTATATCTTATTTCTCATTGATAATGCATATTTACTATAAGTATTGGATGACTGAAGGAGAAGATAAAGAGAAATAAATTTTAACACACTCCAGCCTCCCATACAATAAAAAAATTCAAATTTTATTGCTGTTTGTATTTTGTTAAAATAATCAACTCATTTAAAAAAAGAATGACAAAACATAAGTTTTGTCATTCTTTTTTTAAATGAGTTGATTATTTTAACAAAATACAATATCAAAATATGACTTGAAAAGTTTAAAACATAAATCTTTGAGAAACAACAAAATTTTATTAGAAAAACTTGTCATCGTTGAATAGACTCGTGTTGTTCTTTGCTGCTTGGTTTGATTTTAATCAAAGTTTGCCTTTTTGATGTTTTGTCAGAGATTCCAATTGAAAAAAGATGAGTTTTTATTTGTAATCAATTTAATCTTTGAGATTTTTTTGTTTGTTCCTTATTTCTTAGAATTGATCAGGAGTTTCTGTAGAAAAAAAGAAAGAAAGAAAAGAAAGAAAAAAAGAAAGAAAGAAAGAAAGAAAGAAAGAAAGAAAAAAAAAAGAACAAAAAAAGAAAAGGAAGAAGAAAAATAAGAAAGTATAAGAAAGAAAGTAAACAAGAAAGAAAGAAAAAAAAGAAAGGAAATAAGAAGAAAAAGAAAAATACAAAGAAGAAAAAGGAAAACAAAAAGAAGGAAAAGAATAAAAAGAAAGAAGTTAAAGAAAGTAGATAAAAATAGAAACAAAGAAGAAAGAGAAAAAAAGAAAAATAATGAGAGAAAGAAAAAGGAAGAAGAAAAACAAAAACAAAAGAAGAAAATTTAAAGAAGAAAGAGAAAAGAAAAAGAAAGAGGATAAGAAACACGAAGGAAAAAGAAAGGAAAAGGAAGAAGGAAAAAGGGAAAGTATTGAAAGAAAGAATAAAAAATAAAGAATAAAAAGGAAAATAAAAAAGATGAAAAAGAATAAAAAAGGAAGATGACAAAGAAAGAAGAAAAGAAAAAAGAAAGAAGATAAAGAAAGAAAAAACAGAAAGGAAAATGAAAATAGAAAGAACAAAGAGAGAAGAAAAGAAAGAAGAAAGAAAAAAGCAAGAAAGGAAGAAAGAAGAAAAAAAGAGAAGAAAAAGAAAGAAAGAAAAAAGAAAGAAAGGAAGAAGAAGAAAAGGTGAAGAAAAGAAAGAAATCTTGACTTATAAGTCAATACAAAACAAACATCAGATAAATAGATTACCATCTTTAATCTTAATTTTTATAATCTTGAAATGAATCTTTTCCACCTTATTATTCAAATATTTGTAATTTCATAGTGTTCTAGTTTTTACTGATGAACATGATTATCAGTTGTTAAAATGGGAGCCAAGTTATATCGACATCAATTCCATAAGATGAGCAATTTTCTTTACTCTTCTTTTGTTTACTGCTTTCTTCTTAATCTTCCAGAAAAGCTCAATTAGTTTTGAGTCTGTAAACAACATCCTTAAGTGACTGGTCATTCAATATTTTATGTTTGTATTGTATTTTGGAAACTCATAGAAAAAAGAAAAGGTAAGATATAATCTTGTTTATGTTGCCTGCTCTCATCTTTTAGAACAGATGGCAAGTGACCTTAAAAGAATAGAAGGTTTGAAAAAACAGCCAAGAGAAAGGGAGATAAAATTGATTAAGAATTTCAAAAGGAAAATAAGAAAATTAAATCAAAGAGAAATCTTAAAAGAATGAAAAAAAAATTGAAATTTTTTAAAAAAGTAAATGAGTGTGTGGAAAGGAAAAGGAGAAAGATTTAAGTGAAAAAATGTCAAAGAAAATTGGTGGCAAAAGAGGAAATATTTGTGTAGAGAATAGAGAAAGAAGGGAGATAGAGAGGAAGTTATTAAATAAAAGTGATAAGGAAGAAAAAGTGAAAATACAATTAAAAATTAGAAAAGAAAAAGGGTGAGGATATATTAAAAAAGGAAAAAACAAAAAAGAAGTAAAAAAAGAAAGCAAAAAAGAAAGCAAAAAAGAGAAAAAAGGAAATAAAAAGAAAAAGAGTAAAAACAAAAATTGTGAAAAAGACTTAAAAAACAAAAAGAATAAAACCAAAAAAGAGAAAAATAGAAACGAAAAAAGTAAAAATTTCAAAAGTGATGTCATCAAAGTGAAAATGAAAGATAGGAAAGAAACAAGATGATAAAGAGAATGGAAGATATCCCCCCAAAATTAGAAAGAAAATCATGAAAAAAAAAAAATGAAAGTTATTAAAAGAGAAAGAGAGATTTGAAATCTAAAGAATGGAGAGTGAACAGCAGTGAAAATACTGAAAGAAAGAAATGTGTAAAAATAAAGAGAGAAAAACAAGGAAAATAAAAAAGCAAAGATTGAACGAAAAACAAGAAAGAGATAGAGGTGAAGAGAAGGGTAATAAGTAAAATGAAGGAAATAAACAAAGTTTATGGAGAGGGTTTGGGTTGATGTCATTAATCAGAGAAAATTTGGCCACGAAATCAAGAAGATAGATGAGATGTGAATTTCCAAAATGGCAAAGAGATGATTTTGAAAATTGGGTGGAGTGAACGAATTTGATGAGGTTGAAATGAAAAGGATTAAATACTGCAGTCTGAGAAGGAGAAAATATTTCTTAATTGTATGATAAATCATTTGACAACCAATTCTTTTGGTTTCCAGAAATCTTTATACTTTTCTTCTCATTATTGTTATTTCTTTGTCTTTCTTTTCATTTAATTATTTCATCTTTCTCTGTTTTCTTTTTTTTCTCTTAATATTTTTACCATTTTTGCATCCTTCTTTTTTCTTACTTTTCCTATTTCCAAACTGTTTTTCCTTTTAATGTGCAGAATTCATCTTCTTCCCTTCCAAGTTTTTTTTTTGGGGGGGGGGCTACTTCCATCTTGATATTCTTTCTCTTCTTAGTTTTGTTTTATTCCTTTCTTCTTTTTTATTATTTGATGCTTGTTTTTTTTTTTTTATTTATTTCACATATTTTTCATTTTCCCTGCTGTTAAGGTGTAGAATGTACAATATTTCCCTGTATTAAAGTATGATACCACACCACCCCCCAAAAAAAATACTTTCTAGATGGGTAGTTACAGACTCAAGTGCAAATCAAGTAAAGGCCTATATTTTTGGCTTTAGTGTAAACTAAACCTCTGTTGACCATTTTAAGTTTTTTTTAAACTAAATACATGTCGACTTTGTGACTCTAGTTCAGTAGTTCTCAGCCATGGACCAATTTTACTCTTAATTTGCTGAACTCCCATAACCATTCGATGAAAAAAAAAAATTATTTTATTTTTTACTAATAGATAAGTTTAGGAATTGGAATATATAAATAGTAAATGTATATGCTTTATTTTGAATTAAAACTAATTTAATGAAAATAAACTTGTGTTTAACAACTAAATTCCAAGGAATTCTAAGTCCTTCAAAGTGGATGGTTTTGCCAGACATTGCTCCTGCTGCTTAAGAGGTTAATACAGTTAATTCTTCCTTTATATATAATCCTTATATAATTTATATATTAAATTAATTTTATTATTAATATTTTTTAATATTTTATATTAATTAATTTATATTAATATTTTATTTTATTTTATTAATATTTAAAATTAATATTATTATTTATTATCAATATATTAAATTAATTTATATAATGAATTATAATCTTTATATAATTTTCCTTTCTATTTATAATCCATCCTTTATATATCCATCTCAGTTTTTATTCCACTTTTACAATCAAAACATTTTGTAGTGTAAAAGGGTCACTAACTTACATTGCTTGATCTCATTTTCTGCTAGTTTTAGATTCGTTTTTCTATTTTTAGTAATTTAATATGGTGTAAATTACTATAGAAATTCCAATTCTCAGTTGTAACAACCATTCCAAAGTGAAATTGCTCGATGGACCATTAAAATATTACTGCAGACCCCCAATTTTCTATTATTCCATGTGGATCCCCAGTAATTGTACATGAACCATTTTGTTCTTATGATTTTTGTCCTATAGGTCATATGTTTGATATTAAAATAACCCACAAGAGTTGATATGTCACGAAATTAATCAACTCAAAGTAAAAGTCTTTTTTTTATTTTTATATTAATCTTCTTTTTTTAGACTGTTTATATTCTTCATCTGACCTCAGCTTCCTTTTTATCCTCTTTTATATTCTTTTTTCTTGTTTCTAGTTTTTTACCCACATTTACAACTTCATTCTCTGGCGTTTCTCCTTCCTCACAAGCTCAGTTTCATCATTCATCGATGAAGCAAAATCTTTTTTTTTTTCATATTTCTTATTACAATAATCACTCATATTTAATGGATATCAGTTAATGGGTACACAAGTTTGAGTAGGCATCCTTGTTTTTAAAATGTGAAATTAATGTCTACTGAACCAGAGATAAAAAACAAATACCTCCATTAATTACTTTACAAATTTCATATTCAGCCTTACTTATATATTTATTACATAATTCAGCCTTACTTTACATTAGACACAAAATTATGCTTACATCTGAATATGTATTTCACATAGTTCTTGTAGAAATAAATTATCATCAGGCAAAATTCCATTGAATGACATAAAAAGGAAACAATATGGTGTTATCTGACATTGTAACATACAATTATTTCTGAGTGATAGCAATTTCTATTCAAAATATTGACTTGGTTTTATATCAAGGTACTAACTACATAATAACTAAAAGGACTAATTAATAGAACTTCAAATATTCATTAGTTTTTTCAATTATTATGGTTTTAATATTTTCCCCAAGTTATCTGCATCGTCAATGGCTATCTTCTGTTTTCTTAATTCTTCCCATTCTACATACGATGATAAACTATGTGTAACAGCAAGGGCCTCTGATCAGAAGGAGTATAGAACCACTTCTGAATTGCTGATGTTCCCAGGTCCATCCTGACCTGGTAAGGTAGCACCTGTTAGTGTCCCAGCTATGGGCAAATAGTTAACCCCCAAATTGGGGTCAAAGTATTATGAAAATGTCAAAATAGGTTTTAATACCAGCAAAACATTTTTCAAAAAAAAAATATTATCAGCAATACATTTAAAAAGAAAAATTACCAGCAATAAAAATCTTGTCGGCATTAAATAATCCATTGAGGTTGATATGCTGTAAAACAAACCAAACCAAACCAAACCTTAATTCCTTTATCTTTTATTACAGCTCCTTAATAAAGTTTTTCTTATATTCTTTCCCATTCAGTACCCCACCCCATGTGTTAGTAGCTTTGTTGCCTGCTTGGGATGAAATGATTATAAAAAAACAGTTTGGCAATAAAAAGTAAAGGCTTTCTTGATTAGTTCCTTTTATTTTTAGTTAATTGATTATGAATTAAACATTTATAGGAGAAAAAAAAAATCCGTTTGTTGTAGATGGCTTCTATATAGGAGATATTTCTCTCATTTCTTTTTTATTTCAGAAAGAAATCTTTGGTTGTAAATTGTTAAAATTTTGTTTCAATATCAAGGGATCAGCAAAGAAACTGTTGAGTCATAGTTTTGATCTTTTCATTTCAATTTATTCAATATCATTTGACCTGAACCCATTGTTTTCATTTTTGGATTGAAGTGAAAAGACAAAGGATCAAACAGTTTCTAAGCTGATTCCTTGATGTCAAAGAAAAAGAACGAGAATATGATGAAAGAGAATGGAATATGAACTAAAATATTTGAACAGTTGAAGTATATTCCTTTCATAGCAATAGAAAATGGCTTCATTTCTTGTTGCTTCAACAATTTCCTTGAACTTTTCCTCTGATGAAGTCATAAAAACAAGGCAGCAGAAAGCATCTTTGCTTTTTAACATCTTTCAGTACAAACAAAGAAGTTGTGGTTGTGACAAAAATATCTTTTGATAGCAATGAGGAAATCCACTTCCCTTGTTGAAATGATACAAAATACTGTCAATTTGAAAAGTGAAGGGATGACATGTTTGGTAATTTAATTACCAAAACATCTTGGCAGAAAGACAGTAGATTTAGTTTTGTCATTCTAACATTTTTGAAATAATCAATATATGGCAATACTTATTTACATCTATCACCTTTCAAAGATACTGTATGCAATGTACTTCATGTTCCTGGGTTTTTGCACACACACACACACACACACACACACACACACACATATATATAATCATTTATTACAAAATTATAACATAATAATGTTATAAAATCACTACAAAAATAGCCAATTTGTTTCAACACTTCTGGTGTCTTATCAAGTGATGGTGTTGAATATATATATCAGGCATGTGCCATTAGTAATTACTTAGGACAGGTAGCTTTTCACCTTTATGTAGTAAATTTGTAAAAAAAAACAACAATCATATTGCATTTTATCATGCATAATAATCAGAGTAATCTTCATAATTTTGTTGGATGGATTAGGTACGTATTATGCCACAGAAGGAAAAAAGTAGCAGCTGATCTATTTTATTCAGGGTATGAACTGCCTACCTTGCCTAACTAGACAGTACATCCCGATATATATATATATATATATATATATATATATATATATATATATATATACATATATATATATATATATATATATATATATATATATATATATATATATATATAAATATAATAAAATAAAAGGCTCAAACACTAATATTCCATGGTCATAATTTATTCCATTGGAATCGTAAATACGATCCAATTCATCAGACCTACAAATTCAAAAAGAAAACAGAAAAGAACAACTCCGGAAATAAAAATAGAATTTGGAGAGAGTGCAAGTATGAGAGTTTGGACGAATGTTAGTGTTAAAGAAAGGGGTAACATACGAGAGAAGGTGGGAGATTAAAACTTAACAGAGAGGGTTTTTTCTAACAAGAGGTGAGTGGAAGGGGGAAATATGAATGTTGTCGGATGTCTAATACATTAAAGATACATTTCGTGGTGACATACACACACCATAGACGATCTAATGTTAAAGATCAGAATAAGAGGGAGGGAGAGAAAAGGAAAGAAGTGGTGGGGGAGAGAGATGGGGCAGGGGAAACCAAAATTGAAGGACATTTACTGAAAGGGCCGCTGTGTAATTGAGAAAATTTGACAAAATTAATATCGACTACAGGTTACAAATCAAATATAAACATATAAAGAATAAATATAACGATTATTTAATCTTCAAAGGACCTATATTTTTATGTTCAAAAACTTTACTGCCCAGTTTAACATTCCAACCACCTGAAGAAGGCCGGAGCATACAACGGCTGAAACATTGTAATAAATATGGTGACAAAGATGAGGACAATAGTTTGAATAATGTAAATAGTATACATAATACCTCATCTCAGAAATGTATCTGTAAAGTCATAAACTGAATAAAAACAAGAGTAAAAACTATTCCTAGTCTATGTATATTGTCCTTTGAGGGACTTTATCAAGGCAAATGTAGGATTTATTTTGTTGCATCTGTTTATAT